AAGACACCATCTTTCCCCGTCGCGATCATCGCAGCTTCCTATCAAAGCGGTTTCATCATCTTTCCCATGTTCAGATATCCGGGAGGAGCAAACCCATTGTCCACTGTCCACAATCCTCCTGCTCTGTAGATTCTTTACATTTAGCTTTGTAACTGCTCACTGAGCACACATTAAAGTTCATCTTGGAGTCTTTAAATTCTCATTTGAACTGCATTTGTGAGAGCCGTGCTGTAGAGTCGACCGTTCCTCAGCTTTATCGACAGTCTACTCAGAGTGTGGCCTGCAGAGTGGGATCAAGACTGCCTTCCCTCTCTGGAGACTCTATGCAGTTGGCCGACTCCTGGAGCTTCAGCAGCATGGCCATCTGTGGAGCAGGAGGAGACACAGAAGAAGAGTTAGCAAAGAGAAGATTGCTACACGTGTGTGGTTAGATTTGGCTTTGCATATACGAAATATGGCTGGAAATAGAGATTAAGTTATTCTACTTTTAATCCAATAACTGCTCTGCCAGCGTTGTGTACGCTGGCTTTTTGACTGTCTTGTAATCAGGCTCTCGTGTGTTTCTAATGCTAAAGACATATTTTCTGTGTCAGAATAAAAGGACTCAGTTGAGGAAATTCAGTACATTCATTGAGACTTTAGTACTGATAGACAGTTTTAAACATTCCTGTGAGTATAGGAGCACGATGTTACAGTGAGCTGCTAGATGAGGCGTTGCAGGCTCTACACTCTCCACATCTTTCGCAACATGAACTTTTTTTGCACCACGGTCAGTTAATTCAATTAATTCTTATTGAAACAATGTCAATTTGTTTGTATTCCCGCCAATATTCTCCACTCTCAGCAAATCAAACTGGACTAAAGCACATCCAGGCACAAAAGAAATCCCTCACCAATGGGTCTGACTCCAGTGTGCTGGGCGGAGGTGTGTCTTTAGGAGGCTTCTTCTCCTCACTGAGTGGACCTATGCTAGGAGGAGGTAGGTGAAAGAGCCGGGACTGATCCTGCTGTGCGTTGGGCCAAGGCAGGGTGCCTCTCACCCACTCGACCGGATCCTCCCACACTGATTTATGCCCATGGACCTGACAGGAAGACAAGTCCACAGTAGAAACAGTTTGTTATAGAGGGGTTATTGTTTGCTCCACTACTGTTATATTTTGGAAATGTGTGCATGTTCACCTTAATGCCATCTTTGGCTCCTTCCTGCAAGTACGGTATGATCGAGTGGTTCCACAAGTCAATGAACCACTGCCTGAACTCTGCCACTGACACTGGGCATGACAGGAAGAAGCAGGGACCTGGAGGAGGCAGCGTTTTTTGTTAACAGGTCTTTATCCTAATACCTTTATTATAACAACTCTCTCCCAAGTACCCAAGTCAGACTGTCTGCTAATATCTCACCTATGAGGAAGTCTGAAGTGCTGTGTTTCTCCAGGAAGGCGTGCAGATGGTACCAGAGCTGAGGGATCCAGTCGAGAACCTGGAGGAGCTCCTGGTGGCGTGCCAAGTCCTGCTCCTGGTCCTGGTAAGCCTCTACAGCTTTACGGTGCAAGTACCTCAGCAGAAACCCATTTGCTGGTTCTACGTTGTTGGAGAACATCACCATCCTGTGGCCACATGCAAGAAACACTTAGTTTCTGCGTGAGAGTTAAACAGAGTAACGGAGTGTACTTCATCCAGTCCTCTGCCTACCTGAAGCTCAGGTGCAGCCCGTGGTTAGACGACATTTTCACAGGTTGATTGGTCGTTCCAATTATGTAGGGACTGAAACAGCAACAGAGAAAATCGTGTTACTCTTCGATTAAACAAATCTTATTGAATTCTTCGGTGAAACAGTAATTCTCAGAGTCATTTACCATTTGTGATACTTGCAGGTGAGCGCTCCATTAACGAGCTCGGTGATGGCTGCTGAATCGCTAATATCATCGATGATAACCACCAGGGGAAGCTCCCCTCCACACTCTCTGTCAATCTGATTGGCTAGATCTGACAGATACAACTGCAGCTCCTGTTAAAAGGTGAAAACATATTTTCATACTTGCTTGTGAAAGAATAAGAAACAAAAAAAAACAGCAAAACTCCTTAATGAGGTTTTACCTTCTGTGATTGACGGTGCATGTTGAAGGTGATAGCAGGGCTGCGCCCCAGCAGACCGGGCTCGTGGCCGGCTTCAGTCGAGTCAGTGCGGCTGCGCTGCAGGAGGTAGTGAGCCAGACGCTGAGCTAGGTAAGTCTTTCCTGTCCCGCTGGGCCCAGACAGAACAAGGCGCCTGTGCTTCATCAGCAGGCTGATATAGTGCAGCATCATGGGCTTAGGGATCAGGGTCTCAAACACCAGCGAGTCGACACATTTTTCCCGGAGACCTGAAGAGTTTCAGACACAGAGGGGAGGATGAGCAAGACGATGTAGCATTCACTGCAGAAGAACAATACACACATAAAACTGCATCTATTTAAAAAACTAATAAATAACTAAACTGTCTAATTTTATACTAGATCCAGTACTTAAAATCATCAGCTGGTCTAGGTCTCGGGGGGGCTTAACCTTCAACATGAAAACAGTAATTTTAGCCCCTCCAACCTAACAATAGAAGAGCTTTTTTTCTGTCACAGCAGGAACCACAGTGAAGGTTTGTGTTTCCAAACCCTGCTCCAGATAAACCATCACATGCTTTCATTACATACCAAAGTCCTACTTTTGTCTTGTGGCTATTTAATAGCACTCTGGCATCCACGACCCTCGAGCCAACCATTTTCATCAGATTACACTAAAAACATGTGTAAGACTCCTCGAGACTAGCACCATGTAAAAGTTAAAAAGCTGCATGTAATTCGTTTAAGAAAATAGACGTCAATAAGAGTTTTGAATACAGCGTTTCAAAACAAACTGTTTTCAGCTCCATTTTTATTCCTATAGTGCAAATATTGCAACAACTTTTACCTCGAGCTGCTTTGTATTCAAAGATAACAATACAAATAAACCCAAACAATCAAAAAACTCCATATGAAGCAAGCACGAGCACAGTCAAGGAAAAACTCTGACCACTCCAACCAACTCTGGGAGGGGCAGCCATCCGCTGGTTAGAGGGGGGGGGGGAGACAGGACATGGAAAAAAGCACTGAATGCACTTATATCTGCTAACCTTTCAAGGTGACAAAAATACGAGCGGGACCATTGCCGAGACATTGATAAGGTGAGCCTTGGGGTTTGTCCCCCCCAATCACCCTCAGCCTGCCCTGGGTAAACTGGTACATGTGCAGGGAGTCACTGGTCAGACCCAGGCTGGCTGTCGGGTCCACTTGACTTAAATAATCCTAAACAAAGAATAAATATATCACAGTTAAAATTTTACGGTTGAGCAAACAAATCGCAGCCGAGCTACTGAAGCACAAAAGTCCACTCAATAAAAAAGGAGACCAGATTTACAAGACAAGACTTACTTTGAAGGTCTTGGCTATGAGGGAGTCGAGACAAGGCCAGTCAGTCCTCGCATGAATCAGTACTGAGCCAAGGTAGAACTCCTGCTGCTGTTTACCGTCCTACAGAGAAGAAACAGACGCTTAATTCCCAGATTGTCCAGTTAAAGCTCTTGACATTATCAAACATTGTGAGTAATAAAAGTGTTCCACATCTACCTCTGTTTGGTCTCCGATACGGACCAGCAGACGTGCACACACTTCTTCACGCTGAGAAGAAACGCTTAGCGTGTCACCTTGAGACGCTTCTGCAAGAGAGGAGGAAATGAGGAGGAGATGCACGCTGCACTTCTTTATGAGGTAAACATTGTTTTAAGGCTTTGTTAGTCTCTGACCTGGATCTTTACAATCGTTCAGACTAAGGCTGAAGGATTTGGTGAGGGACATGCTCATTGGCTGCCTCAGAGAGGGCCCCAGGAGGGACGCCAGGCCCGAAGGCTGGGACGTGGAGGAGGTGGGGCCAGAGGCGGGGAGGTAATGCTGGGTTCCTGTTTTTAAATTGACATTTTCTGCCTTCAGGTTCTCCACCGTCGACTGAAACATGAGCAGAACGAAGCTTTAAATTGTAATAACAGCTTTGAAGGTAAGTGAACAAAGACACGTGCAGCAGGCAAAACAAACCTGCATGTTTTTCATGGCTTCTCGGAGCTGCTCCAGCTGATGTGCAGAGTCTAAGGCTTCAAGTCGAATATCTGTCAGTTCCCTCTCTTTCACCCAGAGCTCTGAGCGCAACTCTGATACGGCGCTTTCCTCGCCGTCTCCCTCTTCTGTACTTTCCATGATCCTGGAAGAAGCCAAAGAGCCCTTATAAGAAATTTACACAGACGAAAACTGCACTGCTGAGCTGTGCGGTGGAGTCGGTGTTTGTGCACTCACACAGAGGACGTGGCTGAAGCTGAGGTTTTGAGGCAAGGCAGCATGCCGTCTCCTCCTTCCCCCCCTTCATGAGGCATCTTGGGAGAGTTAGGAGCTGAGGAGTCGGGGGTGGCAATTTCCTCAATGTCAGAGTATGTTTTGGAGCCTTTCTTAATGCTGAATGCTTTGTTGAAGGAGCTCCTCAGCTGCATAGAAACAGAAGATAAACTGATATAAAACAGTCAAACAATGACTTCACATCACTGCATTCATAACTGGAAAGAAAAAAAGAGGGAATAGTTAGAGATGTTAATGTGACACATGCTGAGTACAAAGAGTATAAAAAATAAAGGAATAGTTTGTCATTTTCACTGCAAATAAAGGCCAAAAAAAACAATCTGTCAAGTATAGAGTTTCATTTTATATAGAATGAATAAACGAGATATCATCATGTGCATTTGTACCTTTGTTTTAAACTAAGCAGCTGGTGCTAATCAAAAACAAAGAGATTTCCCCAAAATGACAAACTACCACTTTGAACTTTCAGTCGTTTTCTGCAACTGAGTCCAAGTTACAATCCGTTTCTGCACTTAGATTTAGCAGCTGGTTTAGTGAGAGTTACATGGTAAAAGAAAAAGTCATGTATCTCTTACACAGGGACAAAATACAGGAAAAAGTATGATGTAACAGGGGAGGAACATAACTGAAAGATGCGTTAAATAAACTCGATGATTAAGCCTGAGCGCTTCGCTTCTTACTGAACATCATTTCTGCTGCTAGCCACCAAATTACGGCCATCTACTCAAATTAAATGGTCACATAAGAGGCAGCCAATCAGCAGTGTGGGAGGCCAATCAGCAGAGATGGAGGGTACTCGAGGACTGCGTTGCACTTTTAGATGGTCCATCATGCTGTATGACAGGAAGTTAATAGAGGTTTTATAGAAACACAGTGACTGAACTCACCTCGAAGACCTAAAAGAGCAGAATAGCACAACACAGAGGAGGGAAAGACTGGTCACTTCATCCACGCTGCTTTGTCATTTTCATTAAGGAGAACAGACACAGACCATGCAGTGAGAATAACATAAAGCCTCACAAACAGCTCTCACCCAGCTCTTTTTCTTCTTCTTCTTAGCATCTTGGTCCTTCAAGCTGCCCACGCTGGACATGCTGGTCAAACTGTTCAGACTGGAGATGCTCTCACAGGAGTTCTGACGTCGGATACACAGATCTGGAAAAAAAGAGAGAAAATATTGAATAAAAGTGCTGTGGAGTGAGAGAGAGATAAAAACCTGAATAGTTTACAGACCTTTGCTGTTGTCTGGGTTGTTTAAGGCTCCTTGTATGACAGCCTGGGCTTCTTCATTCCTGGTCTTCAGAGCATCGATGGTCTCCCGGAGCTCCATCAGCTCAGAGTCCTGCACAAACAGTAAATAAATGGTTTGAGGAAGACTTGTTTGTATCTGCTTTGAAAATTGAGCCAAGTGACAGCTTGTACTCATCTAGTTATCAAGTTATCATCCAAAAATTGCTGCATTTTCATTTTACTGTTTTTTATACTGTAATAAATGAAAAAGAATTATTTAAAAATCATGAATACTTTTATTAAATAAGTTGAATATGTTATTTATGTGGTGGCAGTGAGCTTTTAGTAATGCACCAATGCAATGTGAAAAGTTCAAAAAGACAAGAACAACAGTGCCGCTTATTGTCTGCTAAAATCGATGCCACTCCACTCTAGAGCCGCCCGGCTCATCTCCTCAAGGTTAGAGTCTGTGCTTTGGGCTGAACTGCACAGGTCACTGCACTGGCACAAACAACAAAGACCTTTCCTGGAGTGGTCTAGACAGGGCTTTCAGAGGGAGCAGCAAGGCATGAAGCACTGAGAAAGACTCTTCATGCTCACACTAAACACCTCAGGCACCGATCGATTCTTTTACACCAGAACACACAAAAGCAGAAGAACGCAGGAATGTGATGTTTACTTTAGGTGCACATGCAAACTGTTTGAGTCTCGCTTATCATTCAGCCTTTAGAGATTTTTAACACACCGATCCTCCTCCGCCCTGCAGGACTGCAGCCAGGGGCCTCTAACCTAGATTCAGCTCCCGCTGCAGGATTTGATCAAAGTCACCTGCGTATTAGCTCCTAGCCGAGTGCTCGTGAGAAATTTGCGGTGGTGAAACGCAGCTGCAGCTCAGGTTTTTGTTTGTTTGTGCTTGAAAGCGGGGCTGGGATGTTACCTTCTGTTCGTGGCTGAGCGACAGGCTCTGCAGCCGCGATGTCATCAGCGCCAAACTTTGCTCAAAGGCGGCCACCAGGTTTGCCTGTTTAGAAAAGACGAGAGACAAAAACAACAATTTAGATTAAACTCAATTTTTCATTTAAATTTGTCTATATCAGGATATCAACAACATGTAGATGAACTTTATTCATATGGCCGATTGGACAGAGCATCGTTTAAAGCAGACATTACGCACACAGGGACAGATTGAATGGATTTCGTCTGACCCTTTATCCCTGCATAAGAAGTGCTAAAAAGCTGAATGAGGCACAAAGGCTGAACAGGATGTCGTCTGTGTGAAATTCCCCTCCTCCCTAATCTCCTCACACACACCCAATTTAGCCCAGAGGAGGGAGAGAAAATTACTTTCTATTCTCCTTTACAGAATGTATTAACACAGTCAAATAATGGATTCAGCCCAGTCATTAATCCAGCACATAATCAGGCTGTGTTTCACGCATCTGTTCTGCACATTCACATGAGAAGGTCAAACAATGTGGAAAAATGGGGGGGTGCACACGCACTGATTGATTGATGTCTCCTGCATGAAGCGGTGCATAACTCCGGCATTTTATTGCCGCAATCAGACGCATTGAAAACGCTGACTGGATAGTTACACTGAAACAAGGGAGGAGGAAGGAGCGAGGCACATGTGTACGTAGTGAAGCTGAGAGGGG